ATTTAAGTAAATATTAATACTTCTTTACATAATATGTAATATAAAGTAAATACTTAATTTACTACAAAAGACATAGTTAATTTATTTTTTTTTTTTATTATAAGCTACTAAGCTAATGTTTTCTGTGTGAAATTATAATGAAAAACTTTTTAGCTCATGGTTTATCAGCTAAAATTGTAAATTATTTAGTTCAAACTTTTTGAATTTGTTGCTTTAGAAGGTTAATAACTTTACTACAATAAACTTTTCAGTACTTTTACAGTGAAAACCATAATATTTATTAGTAATTATACATATATGTTTGTTTTCATTGGGGTAATTACGGGGATGCATAACGGTGCACTTGCACCTCCTGGTAATATGTAGAAGGCGCAAATATATGCTTTTGCACCTGCAAACGCTGAACTTTATACCTATTGACATATTATTATCAAGTATAAAAAGATGTCTATAGCATAATACGCGAGCAAAGCGATTAACTTTAAATATGACTTAATAATTGTTATTATGATTATTATTTATTGGACTGATAAAGTTTTGCACCTGCTGAAATTTAATGGAATTACGCCAATATTTGTTTCATAATTTCCAAAATATTTCAATCGCATGTGTTTAAACATTTCAATTCCTATTAATAACCTTATTACACTTAAACCTAATAATTACAGCTGTTTTGAGATAGGTATAAGAACATGATGTTTGAATTGAAATTGACTGAGGGATGATGAAAATGTTTACCAAAATATTAAACTATACATTATAAATTTACCATAAGGTAAAACAGTTTGACGCAGTATGGTTAATTTATATTATTAATAGTCATACATTTGAAATAATTAAATAATAATATATTTCAAGTGGTGAGTGAGATGATGTTTTTACTGTTAAATAAATGATGTTCGTTCTGCGTACATCTAATGTAACCACTTGAAAGTATTATTTATTATTACAGCTTGTAACAAAACTGTTTGAGATACGTCATGGGGATATATTGTCGAGGACACTTACTGAAAACTGAGTGGTCCTTATATAATAATGAATAAGGCGAAAAAACATCGTTTTACTCCAAACAAAAGTTTACTTACAAGTTTACATTAAAATTATTTATAAATCTTAACACATAAACTATAACCCTAAGGTTATTTGACCATACTTTTAAATAGTGTGTCATTTTAGAGTAGGTATCAAAAAAAAACATGCTGTTTTAAGAACTACGAAGAAATAATTATTCTATGAAAAATAAATTGCATTACAACCAAGGGAGAATTTTCTATTTTTTCTATTTAATCAATAGTGAAATCATGAATATGATCATCATAGAATAATTTGAATTGATTGGTATGGACAAGTGTTACCCAACTTTATTGATAAGCGACTGACTATTGAATCTTTCTTCTGTGAGATTAAATATATATATATATATATATATTATATAATTAGTTCTGATATACTCGTAATTATATAATTTAAACTAATGATATGCGTATTATCCATCAAAACAATTTTGCGAGTCAACATTGGTTCGTGAAATATAAGTTGGAAAACATAGATTCACACGGTTAAAGTTATGGAATGAAAACAAAATTTATAGATGATAAAAACATACCCATACGATAATGATTGGATGTGTTTACGGTTTTTGGTTAGTTATAATGATCCATTCCAAATTTCATTTAAAGTATACTCGATTTATATTTTAGTTAAAACGAATTTAAAAAAAAGAAATACTGCCGTGGGATAGAATATTAAAATCGGTTTATTAAATGCGTGTGAATTTTTACGGGTCATGTAACAGGTATATTAACCACGCCTATTTTTACATGCAATTTATTACAGTACCGTACAGTATAACGTTTTCACATTAACTAAGAAACTAATATACACTGCTAAAGCAAACTACTATTTTGAAAATAATATTAGTTTAGGTAAATTGTGAACATAATCTAAAAAGTTTTGTAATATTATTATTATTATTTTAGTTTGAAATTAGAAGGAAACTATTGTTAGAATGAGCTCATTTTTATGACACTTTTATTTAATAGTTTTAGGCCAATTGCACACCAAAAGAGCAAAGCTGTGTTAGTCATCGTTATAGGTAGTCAAAAATGTGGATACTTCTAACCGCAGTATCAATCATAACTAATTGAGTTTTAAGCTAAAAAAATGTTATGTTTTGACTATGTCTTATCAGTGTGCGTATATTTAATAGTTTTGCTTTTTTGGTGTGTGATAGTTCTAAGTGAAAACCACATATCATTGTTTTTTAATATCTATGTTATATAACGTTAATATATGCGCATATACAATTTAATGTTAGGTACTGAAGTTGCGCATTAATTTATTTTTATGTTTTAAATTGAGTGGTCATAACGTTATATTATGCATTCTATATGTGTGAGTAATCTAGCAAAAAAACGGTAACTTTTATAATTTGATATGCCTTTCATTAGACTCTTTTCATACATCACACATAACAAGAGCTATTCACCTGCCTAAGTAAATACACTTCTTTTTATGTGAAATATTAACTACATCAATATATTGTATTATATAATTCACTGTCGGTACGGGCCTTTCAACTAAAAACTAACCAATGTTAGTTTTTGTTAATTTTATCTATCAACAAAATGTATTTAGCGTACACGGATATGAATAATACGATTACAATCATTATTGTTTGTTTTCCTAAACATTGGTGTAGTGAAATTGCATATTCAACACGCCGTCAATGGTATTATTATTAAATTTGAATATAGAAGTAATTTCCTTAACCGTTATATAATATATAAACACGTCAAATCGTGATGTTTTTGTCTAACATCTTATTTACTGAACGACGAACATGTATAAATATTTTATTATCAAATTAAAAATAATTAGAACAACGGAAACGTAGTAACTATTGACACTAATTATCACTAAAGTCACTACACTCAAAATAAACTAAATAACATTACATTTAATCATCATTAGCATGTAATAAAATTAAATAAATAATTGCATAAGAATTCATTTTTTAGATAATAGTTCATATTATTATTAAAATACACATATTTACGTATCAATGTATAATATGTATAATAATAGTAAATGGGTTTTAAAAATGTATAATGGATATTGAAACAAAAATTGTAATCAATAAAATATAAAAAATAATGCCGCTTTTATATTAATTTAAGAGTGATCGTGATAATCATTTATTAACCATGGTAGCCAGATCCAATCATATGCAACTGTAGCTAAAGCAATATTTATGAATATACCCGAATTCCACAGTGAAACCAAACAATAAACGCACGAATCATTTCTAATAGAATATAATAATGATAAATATCCTACGTTATCTGGAACATACTTATTCATATAACTATAAGTTAGTCTTAGTTATAAAGTTATCATTTCACTAAAAAAATATTAGATAAAATCAAGTTCTAGGCAATTTGATTTAGTTAAATATAAAAACTAAAACATTTTAAAACTAATTATTTTGAAATCCTGGTGATCCAAATTTTCTTAATTCAAATAAAGTGGCATAAAATATTTAAATAAATATTTCTTATGCGATGGGACTAGATAGTAGTAAATAATATAGCAAACATTTTAAAATAAGGAACAACACACAACTGGTATTATAGCTTACTTTTAAAATGAAAAACTAAATAAAATAGTATATTATTTTTGTGCTGTGCAGTATCGTAAGCAATGTAATCTCACAATATACATTGGATTCAAGTAGTTACCATATTATATATTTTAGGGGTGAATCGAATACCTAAACGTACATGTGTACATATTTTTAGTCATCCGATGACATCGAAAAAAAAAACAGTGTGGAAATCAAAGAAACCTGCAACTGAAATAATCGAGATGGATTACGTACAAATAATAGCATATTATGGGTAAAACCGAACGCTTAGTTGCATGGCCGCTCATCAAGCTATTTTGATTATGCGCGTGTACTAACTAAATATTTTAAAGGCCTATAAAATTTTGCTAAATGGAGTGTAACGATAAATACATTATTATATATCATAATTTTAATAAAATATCCATACAGTTGCACAAACATAAATTAGAAAATTATATATCTTTATTCGTTAATATGCCTTTTAGATTTAATAAAATAAATWATAAATTATCTGTACAAGCTGCACAAACATAGACTAACAAAATATATATCATTATAAACTAAATTACTTTTAGAGTTAAAGAAATAAATAGAATATTATTTGCATAGCTATACAAACATTAAATAAAATTACAATTAATTATATAACTCTTAGATTTAGAAATAATCCCAATCTTTGCAGTTGTACAAATATGAGCTATTTAGTGAATGAGATACTAATGATGACACGCAAATGACACCGCAATCTCCAAATTCAATCACAAAGGCGGCATATCATGTCTATAAAAGGGCAAACAACAATCAATTACACGCTCAGTCGCTTACTCAACATTGTCTCGATGAATGATGTATGATATTTTTTTGTGTTAAATTTTTACAAGTTTAAATAAATTTAATTCACTTTAATATCATATCTTTCGATTTGTTGAATATAACATTCTTGCATACCTCTTTTCACGCCGGTCATCCAGCATCCACTACATCAAGTCGCATCAAATATAATTTCACATCTCGTGTCATTAGAAAGGTAAGTGAAAATTCATACAATAGATATTTTCCATACATTTAGTTTATTTAAAAGGAAAAACTGTCTTACCAAACCCCGTAATTTATCATACAAAGTGGCGAGTTAGAGATAAACATTAAAAATAAACAAAATTTAAAATACTATCTTATAATAATAATTATATATAGCATATTTTTAACTCATTACAGGAGTGACCGAAGATTATTATGAAAACGGTCGGATATTATACATACTCTCAACATAACTCCCCGGGGAAGTGTATACTAACACACATATATTTAATATGCCGCATCAGCTATTTTATTATACTTAATATTATTAAAGTGGACAAAAATGGCAACGTACCTATGTTCCTTTTCGCGTGTATGTGCCCGTACAGTTTGTTGAGATCGAGCGCGGAAACAATGAGGCCGCCACCACAGCAGCACAAGATCATCGCGGCGGTCAGGATGAGCTGCTGCTGCCTCGCCATGATATCGTCTGTCGGCTCGGACGGTGTGACACTGAGTGTGTATGCTTGCGTGTGAGCGTCGTGTCGGTTGCGAATTTCCCGTGACGGCGACGGCCAACACCCAAGCAATGATAGGGCGCCGGCGCCGGGCACCGCAAACAGTCGAACGTATATTTAGTCGTCACCGCCTCCTGCTCCTCCTCGTCCTGCACCACCACGTCCCTGCTCCTATTCCTCCTCTTCCTTCCGACATCCTACCATTCCTCTACTCGTTCTCCCAATCACCCCGTCCTGTTCACTTCTACGTCTCTAGCCGCCACTGTCGCCACCGCGCCCGTCGTAGCTTTTTGTGTGTTGTAGTCCGTACGGTAACAGGTAGGCAGCGCCGTTATAGTTGTTGCACAGCTATATTGCCCGAACAGCACCGCACCGGAGGGGTTTTGGCGTTAACAGCGGCACAGTCGGACCCACAAAAGTTGTTGGATGGCGGTAGGATGGCAGGGGCGATTGGGGTGCACGATGGCAGGAGTGAGAGTTTGCAAGTAGTACGCGGATTATCGGACATTTCCCCCATCCGCCACCCACCGTAATATAATGAAGAAACGCCACCACCGAGTCGGTTAACCTACACGTTGGCTATGAAACGTAAAATAAAATAAATTCATCTTCGTGCTCGGCGCGACACAATATATTTTTTCCATCGGTTCGTCGGGGTTTCTATTTTTATACCATATCATCGAACGCCTGTCACGCCGAAACACACTTTCAAAGTTATGCATTAGTTCCATATTATATCCGTAGTGTATACATACTTTAATATATACACATTTTACGCAGTCTACACGTCTGTACTGAAACATATGTATACATATTACAGAGGGTACTAATATATACAAACACGCCATAGATACAAATATCCATGGTAACGTTGTCACCGTTACCACCGAATATTCTGAACGACCCGCGTGCCAGATTTGATATACTACCTACATATCTTAGATCATATACAATGGATGAAGCCATCGGGCTAATTCTTGAAGCCAGAATAACTCAGAGCCCCGACTGTTTGTGCRCATGCGCGTAATTCTGATTGGTTAATAAATTATCACAAAAAATAATATGATCATAATATAATATACTATTATCAGTCATTTACCCATTTACGCATGCGCAGTAATAACCAAGGCTCTAGCGTTTTCAGTCATTTTGGCTTCAAATACACAAGCATATACCGAGTGGCTACATCCATAGTATATGATCTAAGCTACATGTATAATATTATATAGCCCCATACGTTTGTTGCTGTGGTTGGCGCACCAAACGCAATATTATCATTATAATATTATGTAAGATTTTTATGATATTTCAAGTACCTACGATTTACGTCTTGAGAGACGGCGATAAAATAATAACAATAACAGCAATACAAAAGCGACCAACTGTTGGAGACACCAGGCTGCACCGTTGTGCCTCCGTCACTATACTTTTCCCACATTCACTATACCGCCTAAGTGTAATATATTGTTATGGTATGACGCTGTGAAATTTGTACCTACCTACCTAAACATAAAATGAATTAAATCGCGTGTATTTCAACAGAAAAAAAAATCGGAAAGTCAATAAAACACCACATAAATATTAAATATTGTACGTACTTACCTATTTTATTATTTTATTGTGTAAACACTAAAGCATTCGTTATGTTATTATGTTTACCCATAATTTATAACAATTAATTTATTCCATTATAAATGCATGCTATACTTTCCTTTGTATGCAARGGTTGAGCAGTTTGTGTRCAAACATTATTGCAGTCTTTTCGGTGAGAATCGATTAAAATATTTGTTCTAAAACTCTGTAATTAGTTCAACGTATTCGTTATTTTTCACATGAATACACTTTTTATAATATCTACGCTGTATTCATATTATTTAAATTAAATTTCTGAAACTTATTTTTGGGTCACTGTATTACTAAAATTACATTAGTGCCATATACATAATAAAACTGCATATAACATTTTTGAGTCAGGCAAGTTTTATTGTGTCAATCTAGCCATGTTTGTATATTATTAAAAAGATGTTATAACAAAAGTAAAACTTTTATAACGCCTCAATAGAGCGTTTTTATTTATGCTTACGCAAAAACAACCACTCTTTTAATGTATATTACATATACAAAAAAGTAACTAATTATCATTTAAAAATCTGGAAAATGTATATTTTTCAAACTTGAATACATTTTTTAACCCTTTCATTTAAAATGATAGCATTGTGATAATAATTTTTTTTTATATACCTATCTTATATATATATATATATATATATATGGTGTCAGTTAGTCGGTAGTTCTTTATCACACAAAAAGAATTAGAGTAGAAAAGCCACTTTAAAAAAAAAAGAGATTTTGTCATTCAGTAAAATACATTTTTTCTCATTTATTTATAAAAATATTAATTTTAAAAAGTCCTAAGCTTGTAATACATATATTTGGTTCCTTTTTAAGATTGCTTTTAATAATAATATTATATGTAATGAATGAAAGATTTAATTATATATAATTTGATTCTAATATAATGATTATCTGCGATTAATAATTATTGGATGTTTTGAAATCAAATCAAATAATCTAATAACTATTATCTAATTAGACAAAACGTCAAAAGTAAAACGATTGACAGATAGAAATTATTGTGTTCCATGTCCAAAATTGTTTAAACTACTCAATTCGCGCAGGAATGAAACATTCAAACTAGTGTTCTATAGTTGAGAATATCTATATAAAATGTATGCTTGATTTAGAAATTAGAAAATAATATTCAAATTTGAGTTCTAGTGAACTAATAATGAATAACGATCATTTTAAAAGTTAGTCATTTTTAATAATATGTGGCTCTTTAAACCCAATTTATAATTAGTTAAAAAAAATTACTTAATAAGTTTAAAAGTGTGTTTAGTTTAYAAATTATTCAGACACTTGCCTATAATAATAATATACTCTGATATAGTGTTTCATTTAAATTTTAAATAACGTCTCGTTTATTAAAATACTAAAATATAGATATAACCTAATATTATGCATAAAAATAACCACCAATTCCAAAACTAAGACTTTGATAACTATTTTCAGATTATCCATACATCGTTAATGAATTAGAAGCTATAATTTAAAGTAAAATAGAAGTTTTACATGAATAAAATATTAACTTAACTAGGTAAACATCAAGTTCATATTCTAACGTTCAACCAATTTATTTTATTTGAACAAATAAATATATGCAATATTGCATAGTATTTTATACTGTTGATTTTAATTCAACACTTTTACAACATAATATGTTATAGAAATAAAAAAATACATTAAGTTTATTAAATTGAATGTCATTTGATCGTTTTATATAATAGTAAAATTGTTTTTATAAGCATAACAGCATATTTAATTTTAAAAAAAACGTAATTTAAGCAGAACACGTCATTATCAAAAGTATTTTTTTTATTCATTCAATCAGGATTTTATTGAAATACAGTATTCACGTTTTCACTGCAGTTACGATTCTAAAAATAAATTTATAATAATGGCCAATTTAAGTAAAATAATTATATGTAAAAAATATTTATGAATGTACACTAAAAATTCCAAAAACATTATTTCTTTTAAGTAATAAATAACAATTAACAACATTATACTAAAAAAACATTTACTAGGTACCTATTAGTTTAAAAATTAAAGAAAAACATATTTTTAAGAACTTTATACTATACCCAWTACCCATTACACATATTACAGTAGGAACCTACTAATCTTGTTAAACATTTTAGATGGGAATTTATGAAAGCCAAATTTAATTCAAAAACTTTTTTTAKCAAATTTTTATTATTATTTCATATACAATTTAGACTACTTTAGATTGGTTTAACAAGTTTTTATATTTAAATAATTTTTAGTTCGTCAATTTCTAATTTTTAAATAAAATTTCTGTTTTTATATAGCTTATTATTAGGTATTAATAATTTACAATTACTGCTGAAGCCATCGCCATACTATCAGCACTAAAACTTATTGAAAATGATACTCATCAGTATTACAATATTTTCACGGACTCCTTAAGTACCAT